TTTTTTTTTTTTTTTTTTTTTTTGTCTTTTTCCGTGTCCGGCAACGGATCGCAACCCTCAGTGTCGCCCCTGTACCGGACCAGGACCAGCAACGGGATCGCAACCCTCGGTGTTGCTCCCGTGCCTCACTCAGCCAGTAAGCGGGAACCGGTCTGTATGTGGGATCCGAACCCTCGGCGGGAGCGCCGCCGCACTTCCCAAGTGGCGCACTGTAGCAGTGCGCCACCGGGCCAGCCCAGTAGAAATATTTTTAAAACTACTTTATAAATGATATATTCTCAGATTTTCCAGTCTGACATTCTTATTAGTCTGCTTATGTTTAATATAACTACTGATTAAATTGGGTTTAAATATATCTTCTATTTTTCTATATTTTTCTTCTTGTGTTCATTTGAATTGATTGTTTTAAAGAAAAAAAATTATTTCACTTTCCCCTCTATCTTGGTTGTTATTCATTCTTTAATGTTTTTCTGATGGGTACTATAGAGATTACAATAAGACTCCTTGATTTATCAAAGCCTAGGTAGGTAAATTGTTAATCTTACTTCTCCCTGACAATGCAATGACTTTAGAAATTCTGACTCCATATCACTTCATCTTAATTTATATGCTGCTGTTCTTGTATATTTTAATTTTACCCATATTTTAAACTTTACAAGATATTATTATTTTATACATTTTATTCATTTAGCTTTAGCTACATATCATGGTACTTCAAAAAGTTCATGGAAAGATTAGTATTTTTTTATTTAACATATAAGATGGATTTATTTTTATTTCGTGGCAGCTGGCCAGTATGGGGATCCTAATATCTTTTAATTCTATTTTTCTATGAACTTTTTGAAGTACCCTCGTATTTCTACATATTTATCCTTTCTGTTGTACTTAAGTCTTTTTGTATCTGGGATCACCTTCCTTTTACTTGAAGAACACACTTTAATATTTTCTGTGGTACAGGTCTGAAGATGGCAAATTCTATTTTATCTGGATCCTTTTTGGGGGGGGGGGTTGGCCAGTACAGGGATCAAACCCTGGCCCTTGGTGTTATCAGCACGACACTCTAACCAACCGAGCTAACTGGCCAACACTGGATATCTTAAGAGATTTTCGATGGGTATAGAATTTTGAGGTTGGGGGCCGGCCTGGTGGCGCACTTGGTAGAGTGCGGCGCTTGGGAGTGTGGTGGTGCTCCCACCGAGGGTTCGGATCCCATATAGAGACTGGTCCGCTCACTGGTTGAGCACGGTGCGGGCGCGACACCAAGGGTTGTGATCCCGTTACCGGTCACGAAAAAAAGACAAAAAGGAAAAAAAAAAAAAAAGAATTTTGAGGTTGGCAGTGGTAGTTGTTTTGCTCTTTAAGGATCTAACTTTCATTGTTTCTGTGAAGTGGGCTGTTAGTCTAATTGTACATCCTTTGATGCAATCTCTTTCCCCCAGCCCCTTCTTAAATCTACTTGCTTTTAAGATATTTCTCTGTGCTTTGGTTTTTAGCCGTCTTATAATTTGTCTAGTCGTGGTTTCTTTATGAGGGTATTTCAAAAAGTTCATGGGAAGAATTGTATTATCTTTTAATTCTATTTTTCCACGAACTTTTTGAAGAACCCTCATATTTATCCTGCTTGGGGTTCATAGTGTTTCATGAGTTTGTAGCTTAAAGATCTTCATGATGTTTGGAAAATTACCAGCCATTATCTTTTCAAATATTAATTCTGTTCCCATTCTCTGTCTCTTTCAATTACTCATATTAGAACTTTTTACCACATTCCTTTGTCTCTTATGCCCTTTTTTTATATTTTCCATGCTTTTGTCTCTCCTTGCTTCATGTTGGGTATCATCTACTAAACTATCTTCCATTTCTATTTTTCATCTTGGCTCTTAACAATCTGCTATTAAACCCATCTGTTGAGTCACTGTTTATTTTTCTGTTCTAGAATCTTTCTTTTTCTTTAAAAAAAAACCCAAAAAACAAAAAACTTTCAGTTCCTGCTGGAAATAATAGTCTTATTTCCTTGAACATGAAAGTGCCCCCTTGTAACACCAAGGTCAAGGATTTGGATCTCTGTACTGGCCAGCCACCAAAAATAAATAAATAACCAAGAGACAGAATATCATACTTGGAAAACCAAGAGGATACCAACAGACCCACAGGGGATTAAGTTAATGAAGTTATCTGACACAGATTTTAAAATAAGTGGTAGATGTCACACATTAAAAAGTCTTATGAAGGAAATTGGCCCCAAGTATCAGGCTTACCTTTATTTCTGGGTTTTCTTTTCTAATACTTTCATAATTCTCCAGTGCCTTTAAGCAATTATTTATTTTTAGCTCAGATATTCTAGTTGTCCAGGGGCCTTGGCCAGAATTACCTACTCTACCATTGACAGAAGCAGAAATCTACCCTTAGAGTAAATCTTTATCTAGCCTTTTCTTCCTTGTAAAGGTATTGTGAGAATTAAATGAATTAATCTACATAAAGTTTTTAGAACAGTGCTAGGCATATAGTAAACACCATGAGTACTAACTATTAAGGTTTTTATTTTAGTTTTTTATTGAAACATAATGTATATTTGTGTGGTACAGAGTTGAATATCAATACATTTATTCAATGTGTGATCAAATCAAGGTAATTAGTACATTCATCATTACAAAACTCAATCATTTCTTTGTGACAAGGACGTTTGGTCTCCATTCTTCTAGCCATTTCATAACATGGAGTAAATTATTAATTGGAGATGCCTAGGTTGACTATACACACATAGAACTTATTTTTCCTACCTAGCCATTATGTGTCCTTAAGCCAACCTCTCACTAACCCCCACCTCTACTAACCACAGTTCTTTCCACTGAAAGTTCAACTTATTTTCTCCCTCCCTCCCCAGTCTCTCTCCCTCCCTCCCCAGTCTCTCTCCCTCCCTCCCCAGTCTCTCTCCCTCCCTCCCCAGTCTCTCTCCCTCCCTCCCCAGTCTCTCTCCCTCCCTCCCCAGTCTCTCTCCCTCCCTCCCCAGTCTCTCTCCCTCCCTCCCCAGTCTCTCTCCCTCCCTCCCCAGTCTCTCTCCCTCCCTCCCCAGTCTCTCTCCCTCCCTCCCCAGTCTCTCTCCCTCCCTCCCCAGTCTCTCTCCCTCCCTCCCCAGTCTCTCTCCCTCCCTCCCCAGTCTCTCTCCCTCCCTCCCCAGTCTCTCTCCCTCCCTCCCCAGTCTCTCTCCCTCCCTCCCCAGTCTCTCTCCCTCCCTCCCCAGTCTCTCTCCCTCCCTCCCCAGTCTCTCTCCCTCCCTCCCCAGTCTCTCTCCCTCCCTCCCCAGTCTCTCTCCCTCCCTCCCCAGTCTCTCTCCCTCCCTCCCCAGTCTCTCTCCCTCCCTCCCCAGTCTCTCTCCCTC